GGGGGAGTGTGCTGGAGAAATCGGGGGATGATGGGATTTTGTAGGGTAAAATGAGGTTATGGGAGTGGGATGGGGAGGGGGAGAATGTTCCTGGGGTGATGTTAGACTCGGTAGCTTTTTTCTTTCTTTTGTGTGTGTGTGTGTTGAGTACGTGTCGGTAAGGAGGGTTGTAGAGTAATTGGTGCTAGACTAGAGAGAGTACAAAACATGTCGAGTGTTTCATGGCTTCGTTTCATTAGGGGGGTTGCAAAGAAGGGATAATAAAGAATTTACATCTTGATTGATGTGGTATCATGAACATGTAAAGTCCATGTCATCTAAGAGGAATTTATCATCTATAGCGACAAGCGCCTATTCTTCTTAGTCTTGTAAAAGGAAAGATATCAGGACCCCATGCGCCATACACCTATGCTATGCTGTACAGAGATAAGAAAAGAAAAAAACATGTCGAGAATCAAAAAGTCAACCATCTATTCCTCCATCACACCAGTCGCCATCATGCTCTCCTTCAGAGCCTTCTTGTACTCGCGCTCCATGCCATGCTTGACAGCGTCAAGGACAGTGTTTACTGTAGCCTTGGGCTCGAAGCGGGGCTTGGTGCCATCTTGGAAGACACCAGTCTTGACCAGGATCGAGTACCAGTTGGCGTCGGGGTTTTGCTCGTTGTATTCATTGGTACCCCGAATGTCTGATTCTGGTGTGTCGCCTACAAAGTAGACAGTGGAAGGAGGCGAGTCAATACCGTGGGTATCTTTGCGCCATTCCTGGAGCAGACGAGTTGCAAACTGGAAGGTGCCGATTTGTGGCTTTCCAAATGCAGTGGTCTCGAGGGTACGACCAGTGACAGCCTTGAACATGGCTTCCAAGGAAACCCGGAGGGCACCCATACCAATGCGGGTAAGGTCGTGCGAAGCGCTCCAGACCACGTCGTTGTGAGAGAAAAAGACTGGTGGGCCTTCGTCGTAGTTCTCGGACCTCGTGCCAAGACGGCCTTTCTTTGACATGAGTAGGTCAAGAATGATCTGCTGGTCCGACGCCCAATCACGTGAGTCGGCGAAAACGAAAATGGCCTCGATTTCAACCTCAGCAAAGTTGCGGGTTCGCGAGTTGTTGTATTCTTCCTCTGTAAGCTTGCGGAAAGGGGTAGTATCTTGGTTGTCCTTGATGATGTCACCAGGAGTTACACTGAGCTTGCGTTAGAAATAGGTATGCGGCCGGAACAGCGGGCAAGACTTACACATCCTTGAATCCGTAACCTTCGGCGACAATGCGGCATTTTTCGCCCTCGCCACCGACGACCAGCACAGTACCGTACTTCTCGGCCATCTCCCTCATTGGAGTGTGTCCGCAAATGAACTGGCCAGGCGAAACTTCAATCTCTAGTTGCTTGCTCAGTTGGATGCAACGCTCAGCTTCAGTCTTGCCGCCACCATTGGTGACGAAAATGTACGGGACTTGAATGCCATATTCATTGTCACCGTTGAGCATCTTCATGGCCTCAATAGCTTCCGGAATGGGACGGCCACCACGAATGAGGACGCCGTCAATATCTATGTATGGTTAGAAATATTGTGCTTCACATGGGACTTTGTCTAACGCACCAAAAGCAAACGCATATTTGTCCGTGACGGATGTTTCAGGAGGTGTCAGATCCGGTGATCCAGGGGCGACAGCGTCGAGGTGACGTCTAGCAGTCTCAAAGCCGCTGGCAATCTCCGACTGTTTGGATGGGGCCATGAGATGTTGTGGGGGAACAACGACGGTCGGGCCCATGTTGATGTTCTCGCGGGTAGCCTCCACTGCTGAGAGGCGACGCACGAAACCGCTTCCCGCTGCGGGAACTGCAAGAGGTGCCGACATGGTGTAAGGTAGATTTGTTCAGAATCTGTGCCAATCACAAAGGTTTGCTAGAAAACGCTCTCCTCCGGGTAGTAGAGTTTGAAAGATGTGGCGAGGTTGGTAGCGGAGGAAGTTTGGTGGTCTTTATAGCGTGTGAGCCCGGTAATCAGGTTGATTCTCCAGAAAACCCCTCAAGTAAGCGGAGAGAATAGTGGGTACGTGGATATGTGGGAATGTGGAGGTGGGTTGTAATGCTACATGGTTGGTTTGCGCAAAGACGCCGAGTGTTTTATACCAAAGACGAACGGTCAATCCAAGGTAAACCCCTAGCATCGCTGGAGTGATCATCTTCATCATTAGTGGCATAATACTCTGCACGTCTACGTCGATTCACCAGACCCTGAGCATGAGAACTACTAGTTTAGGACTTTGTCGGTGACTATTGCGTAGAGTGATGGCGTCACCCGGTCGGAACAAGCGCAAGGGACGCTTCAGCACGTCGAATTCGATGGCAGGACACTATCCTAGGCGTGCCCTTCTCGACATGTGCTTGGAGATTGTGACACGTTTCTCGATGCTGATTCGATACCTACGACAGTGATGTTGCAATAATTGTGGGTATACGGCCGAAGTTGTGCGGCTGCTTGAATCCCTGGTAATCTTGGATTACAGCCGTCTCATGCGCGCCATGTGGCAGACGGCCGCGGTTGGTGTTGTAGTTGTGGAACGGTGTTGCAGAATTTTGAAGTTCTTCGGCGCTATGATGTCACTAAATGATTAGGTTGCATGTCGCTACGCCGCATGAGAGCATACATCCTCACCGGCCGGAGGTGTCCGCGAATGAACGTTCGTCAGGGACTCGGGGACTCTGAGTCGCCGTGTCAAACACTTGCCAAGTGTGAAAGTTAACACGAATGAAATGCCAGCCGCCCTGGTCTTTTGGCGAGGACAAGCCGGCCTGCGTTCTCGCCAAGCGTCGGGGACTTGATGAGGCAACTTGAGGCTCAACGGAGGCCGTCTCGGCAGACATGCCAAAACGTTGAGCCGTCCTGTCAGGGTCTGGTGCGTCGCATCAAGAAACGATGTCAGCATCCGCCGTACAATGCAATCGTTCGCGATTGCAATATTACAATAGTAACAGCAACAACAGTTTGTAATATCCTCGAAATGACGTCCGCACCATTGTCCCATCTCTTGCCCCGAGTAAAACCGCGCGCGCGCATCTACACAGCCTACACAGTGGATCGCTAGTACCTACAGTAGGACAGGTACCCACATCCAAGGCACAAGCATGGGTCACTTGACGTAACTGTACATGACCCTACAAGCCTCCCGGTGCTTTTTGCAGAGTGGATGACGGTTGTAGGTATGCGACCTGTACGTGAAACCGGGCCAGGTCGCAATAAAGGTAGCAATGAGGCATTTCTGCAAGACACAAGTGACGCTGGCCGTGCCAGTTCTCCCAGCCACGACAACGACAACAACGACAAGACCAAAGACTGTGTATGCTACCGGTAGTGACACTGGCGCAACAGTGGGGGATGCAGTATTGCCAACCAGCCTCCCAATGAGACAACGAGTACATTTAGTGACCAGTCATTGTACGTATCCCTAGCGGATATATGGGCGTCTACAAGTGCCGAGAAGCCGTTCAAGGCCCGAAGCAATCTGTAAGAAGTAATGATCAGACGACGCGGTTGTGGAAGGTAAAGGGATGTTCGCTGCGCTGTTGCCGCTACCGCTACTGGGGTTTGATGTTAGATGCTGAAGAGATGGGGAAAGGGCCAACGGAGCAGAGAAGGCGGGGTGTGGTGTCGAATCCACGCCTCCACGCCTCCACGCCTCCACGAGTTTCCTGGAGCGGCTCCGGATTTGCAACCAGCGGGAATTAACCAGCATAGGGTCTATCTATTCACCACCTTCCGCAGACTCACCGCAAGTTCTTGCACATCGGTCGACTGTCGCTAGGGCGGCGCTATGCCGTCCTAAAGTGCTTTGCTGGGCAAGCCTTGAGTATGATTGTGCGAGACCTGCTTCACGCACCAAGTTCCCGTCGCAGGGACTCGGTTCAGCTGCCGTGCTCCACTGTTTTTGTGGAGGGACAAAGTGGAAGTGCTGATCGGTTAGGGGAAGTGGGCCCTCTGGTCTTTGGCAATGTCGCTGTCGGCACAGTACAGCCGAGTACGTCGCGGATATGGCGTTTCACCGATTGTGAGGATAGAGGGATGTGGATCGGTACTTGGAGTATCAAATACTGTGATGAGTGTGAGCTCTGAGGCGAAGAGATAGATGGGTGGGGTTGTTGGTCATGGGAGAAGGAAGGAGCAGCTTGCATTGAATAGGCAGGAGCAGGCCCGAACAACATGCGTTGCGATTTGCATCGCTGCCCCGCGTTAAGCTCCCACATCCCTTACTATCCATCTCCACATTACGAGTAAGACTTATCCTCTCGAGCCATGAATTGGACAGGTGGTTCACTGCAGCGCACTAAGAAAGCCAACTCGGGCATGCTACAACGGCAGAGAGCGTATTTTGCCAAGGCACGAACAAACCTTCAGAACATACCTCAAACGCCTATTGCTCCCTTTTGCCCGAGTTATCTTCGCGACAATAGCAAATCAGATTTTCTAGCGGTTCCTTCGTTTGAGTTGATCTCGGACCGACGTAGGGGGTGCTCTGTGAGAGGTCGAGGGGAGCCAGCACAGAGTGAGGATATACCTGTACCAGACGACAAGTGGTGCGCGATCAGCAGGCATCAAGTATCTCCACATGAATCACCCAGCAAACGTGTCGCTCACCATGACGTCCAATCGGAGACTTCACCCCAAGCTCAAGAAGGTAGTTGTGGCGAGCAGATGCATGATTACTTGCGTGGTGTTTAGACAGAGAAACTGACGGCAAAGTAGACTTGGGTAGCCCGAAACTCAAGGCCCCAGACAAGAATGTGGAGATGCAACTGTTGGAGGCGAATAAGAAAAGGCTGTTAACACAGGCAGATTGGATCGGCATCGACGCTGCAAAGCCAGTGCAACTGCAATTTGTGTCGTGCAAGCAGAAAGAGAAGATTGGCAAGCGCAGAAGAAGGACTGGAAAATGCCGCGCGCAGAAAAGACAGCGTGTTGAGGGAGAATTAAAACCAAAAAAGCCTCAACTTCAGCACCGGTCCTTTGCTAAACTCTTGGAAAGTTGTGCTAGCCGTGACGGACCCGAGGACATAGAGGTTCGCATAGGCACAGAGGCATTGACAGATGGACAGTCTGCTCAGCTCCAAGAGTGTGTGCAGTCGGAAGTTTGTTCAAGCCCGATGCTTTTTGAGCAAGACGATTTAGTTTCCCGTGACTCAGCGACATGTGAAGATGGTGGGCACCATGACGAGCGCAATCTGCGTTTTGTGTTTAGGGGCCGGGCCTCTCCCATGGGTCTACGTACTCAGCACGTAACGGGCAGGCAAAAGATGGATGAAACACAGCTACTCGAAGAACCAGCATCGGTATCCACATGCCGGGCCAAACATGTGCATGGGGTCACCAATGACAGCGAGGACCCAAGTGTATACGCAATCGTCGATCAAGAACCCTGGATGGCGTATCTCGCAATTTCCGACGTTTCTTCACGGGCAAACGATGCGGGAATTTGGCCCAAAGACGAATTGCAGCTTGAGGGGAAGAGCATTGGGGGAAATGAGAGTGCGTGTGACACAAGATGGTCAAAGGGCGCCACTCAGGGCGTGGAGGAAGAGGATGGTGAAAGTTTTGGCGCAGCGTCAAGATGCGAGTGTTTGGCTTTGTTGAAGCGGGGTATAGGGAGAGCGGCAGCAGGGTATGTGCCGGAGATGAAGGGCATTCGCGCAGACCAGCCAAATTGGAGCCATGTACAAACTTTGGACGAAGATGAGAAGGAGTGGCAGGCGTTTGTCTTGGGTAGCGACCAGAGTCGATCCTTGCCAAGGGCGCAGCTGGACGCACGCCGATGTTTTGCGCAGACAGCAGTAGAGTATGCGCAAGAGGCATGTTCAAAGCAGCTGCCGCTATCCGTTGCAGCGAGTTGCGCAAGCACCCCCGCCCGGAATGATGCCGAAATTCCGTAGATTTGGTTCTTCCACACGCGACAGGGGACAGGATGCAGCAGATTGAATGCTACGGGTGCGGTCATGCAAGAGGTATGTATGTACAGAAGGAATTATTGGGGGGGGGGGGGGGGGGGGAGATGTTGAGGAGACAGGAAGTGTTGGGCAAAAGCGAGGCGGTAGGTGGGCAGTGAGTGACTGATGCATGTGTAGTGTAGTAGTGAATGTACACAGTAGTACATCCATCCACTTGCCTAGCTAGGAAGCAAGGCATGTTTACTAGATGGGACGTGTGCCTTGGGACGTTCAGATGCAACGTCCCGCAGTAGCACTTTGATATTCGGGGCGACTCAGACAGGCATAGACGGGGAAGGGCGCTGGGAAGGAGCAGAGTAAGTATACAGGTATTCGGGCCGGGCGGGTATGAACGAGTGAATGGGTGGGTGGTGTAGTGTACTAGCACTAGTAGCAGTTGCGATACCCCAGTCAGCAGTGACGACGGAGCGTATCGTTGTAGATCCCAACAAGCGGTAGCTAGTAAGTAGACACAGACGTATGTATGCCTGATCATCGTTTCGGCGGGGACGTGGGATGAGGCGGGAGTCGAGAAGTGGATTGGCCCGTTTTGGCCGAGGAGCAAATGGCAAGGCCCATGTTTTGACTTTTAGAGTGGCAGGCTAGCGTAGCTGGCGGACGTACCGCCGTGTTACATGTCAGCGAATGAAGATGGGCAGCTGGCATTGTCTTTGTGTCGCTGGCGCGCTACGTGAATAGGGCCCGGATGGCGTCGAGGCGTTGGAAACGTTAGCTGGAGGGTGTTGGCAGCATTGGCGGCTTTTGGCTTGGGCGGTTCTGCGAGTGTGTGCTCGGTGTTGGTGTGGGAGCGTGCGTGCAGGACGCATTGAGAAGGGGCGAGGGAGGGTGGTGTTGGAGGGAGTGTAATACATGGCCATGCTAAGAGTTTGACGAATGCAGCAACTCGAGTATGGACAGAGGGCACGCCAAGATGGGGAGCAATGCGAACACCTGCACACGATGCGTCAGAGTCGGATCAACATGCATGTCGTGGGTAGTAGCAATTGTTTGAAGAGGGGAGGGGGGGGTGGCCCGGGGCAGGCCGAGTGACGTGCGGGGCTCTATTTCTGGGTGAGCCCTATGAGTTGAGAGGCCATCCTTGTCTTGGCTCGAGTGGGCTCGGACCGGGGCAAAGGATGCAAATGCTAGAGGCAGCGCCAATGCTGGTGGCGGCGCCAGAGTTACAGGCGGACAGGCGGACAGGCGGACAGGCGGACAGGCGGACAGGCGGACAGGCATGTAGACAGACAGACAGACAGACAGAAGGACACGGTGAAGCCCAAGGGCGGGCGGCGGCGGTCATGTGAGGGAGCGGGCGGCGGGGATGATTCAGAGCAGGAGCAGCGCGTGCAGTTGGGGCGAGCAGCAAACGATTGGACACAGAGGACGGAAAGGGTCGAGGACAGCACACCGCCAGCCGGTCACATGGACTGGCTGGCAGGCAGGCAAGCAGTTCCGCATGGGGGCGAGAGGGCCACGGCCACGGCAACAGAGCAGACACAGACACAGACAGTCGACAATTGATGTGCGGGGGGGCGTTGTGGCATGACTGGCGCTCGGCCGTCAGGGGTAGAAAAATCCTTTGCCTTCTCGAAGCCGTCGAAAGATGACTAGCCGGCCGGCCGTCACGCGACTCGGCGACGCAGCAGCAGCAGCAACAGCCTAGCAGCAACAGCACAAGCACAAGCAGATGCAGCCGCAGCCGCAGCCGTGGGCCTGCGCTGCCATGGCGACTTTGTCGCGTCGCTGTGCAAGGGAGCCGTGAAGCAGCCGGCCGGCCAGGAAATTGGTGGCTCGAGGCAAACTTTGGCCATGACGACGGTGCATCCCTGGCCTCTGGTTGCGCCGTCGTTGGTGATCGAACCGTTGTGCCGGCTTCGCACTTGGTTTCACCCTGCCCGCGCGCCACGTGTGAGCCTATCGAGGCGAGCCCACAGCCACACATGAGGGGGCGCCCCAGCCCACAAGACAGCCTGCTTGCATGCCACTCGTCCTCGCGGGAGTCATAGTAATCTGCCAGTCTGATGGAGCTGCCGGCCAGCGAGCGAGTAGCAGTGTAGTGTACAGCACAGCAGTGGCAGCAGCACGCTGTCTGCTCACCGGTGTGTCAAGACACGAACGACCCACGCAATCCATGCCCGTAGCCACTGCTGCTGCTGCTGCATACAGGCCCAATGAGGACTATCATGTCGGTGGTGGTGGTGGTGGTGACGATGATGATGATGACGATGCAAGCAGCCTTGCCCATGCTGCCCTCTACTCTGGCTGCCTCAGTCGCCGGCATGGGATCCCCCTCTTGGGCCGGATGTAACGGCAGCGCTACAGTAGCTGTACAGACTTGTACATGCATGCAAATACGTCGTTGCTGGACGCAGCTCGCCCTCCCAGCTCGCCTGTCAGCGGGAAGCGGCAGCGTAGGCGCAGGCGGAGGCGGCGGCCATGGTCCTCCCTGGTGCGCATGCCTGCCCATGCCGCTGCCTCACTCATGCTCAGGCTGCCCACGACTGGCTCCCGTGGCCTGCAGGCGGGCGTGATTGGCAGCGGTGCAGCTGGCGGTGCAGTCGAGGGCGGATGCAGATGCACATGGCGGATGGGACAACCTTGGGCTGCGTCATTGTCGACGCCGTTGCACGGTGGGGCCTAACCAGTGTCGCGGCTCGCACTTGGTTACCGCTAGCACACGAGACAAACAGGGAAGACGGCTTTCGCAGCCCGAGTTACCATGTCTTGACGCGGACTTGGGCCCGACCGACAAGGAGGCACGGAGTCAAGGTCAAGGCATGCTGTCCGTGGCATAGGCGTGTCGTTTGCAAACTTAGCTGAGAAAAATCCCGTCTGCGGCTTGTCTGTTCCTGGCTGCCTGGCTGGCCCACCGCGCTGCCGCTGCCCGCGGCCCTGCCCACGGGCCTGCCCATATACATAGTAGTCCGAGTACCTCGCAACAAGCCTGCCCTAGAGTACACACAGCCTGCCCGCTCCTTAGCTGCTAGCATTGCTTCCTTAGTCCGCCCTGCACTACCCGCTAGAGCGAGCAAAACAATTACACCCACACACGACATTACTCTACCACACACCCCCCGACTCCTCACTCGACGACCACCTCATCACCCGCCGGCCACCTGCCACCCTACTCCTCTTTCTCTCCATCTCTCTCCACCCCGCCCAATCCCCTCTCGGCATCCGCTGCTGCAGCTGCCCGTCCTTCTCCGCACATCATCCCACCGCGTTTTTAACGAGCCTGGTGCGCCCGCCCTGGTCTGCCGAATCGCTTGCTGCAAAAAAACCCAACCGCCCCCCACGACTGCTCCGGAGTACTTCAGATCGCACAGTATCCATGCAACGTGCATGCAAGGCCGTCTCCAAGTAATCCCAGCTGACCTCCGCCTGCACCTCGCGCAGCGCGCGCTTCCTCGTCCAAACTCGTCATAGCCAAACCCATTCTGTCAGTCTCACGATGCGATCCAGTTCCTAGCTTGAGCTCTGCAAAAAAAAGGACCCAGCAGGCTGTTGATCCTATCTGCTTTTATTCCCCAGTGGCGCCCGCCCGCCTTGACACTCCCTCCACACATCCACACACTCACACTCCCGCACATACACACACACCCTCCTACTCCAACTCCTACTCCTCATCCTCCTCTCACCAATTGTCCGCGCCATGAAGGTTTACTAGCACGCCCCGACATCAGCCTTTTGCTCTCTCTCTCTCACACACACACATCCCGCCACCATGTCACTACTCCACGACTCTTATGCGCGCCCGCGCATACCCTCGCCTTCGCCTAGTTACGCTCGCGCCATTAGCATTTCCGCCCGTGGCAGCCCGGCCCTTACTGCCTCTTGCCTCAATGGCTCCCTCCAGTCAACCCCAGAAGGCATGGTTCCCATCTCGTCATCGCTGCCAGCCATTCCCTCCTACACACTACCAGAGCCGTTACTCCATCCTCCGGTCCAGTCGCAGCCAACTTCCTCGCCATCGGCCATGGCGGAAGCCCTAGGCAAGGGACCAGGCCTGATTCGACGAGTTAGCCGGGGCGCCCAGGGTATCCCGCATCGCTTCCGCCGCGGCAACTCGACTGCTCAACGCGACAAGAGCTCTGGTCCCGTTATTATGCGCCGCCGCAGCGACAGCAGGACTGCCGCCGACGGCGACACAGGCATCTCCGACTTTGACGCTTTCGAGGAAGAGGAGGCCATTGAAGATTCATATGAGCCCATCCACGGGCTTGGCATCACCGGCCCTTCGCCCAGCTTCAGCTCAATACCCGACACTGCTGTCGTAGCCCCCGTACGCAACTCGCGCCTCGAGCAAGGCACCGTTTTGAAGAAAGTTACCAAAAAGGAAAAGAAGGAAATCAACCTACGTCTGGACCTGGAATCCGCAAAAGTCTTCTGGGACACGTCAAGACCGTCAAAGGCCTTTTACATTGATGATGTAAAGGAAATCCGCTCCGGCCCAGAAGCAAAGCACTATCGCGAAGAGTGCGGAGTATCGGAAAACTATGCACCATACTGGTTCACTATTGTATACACCGACACAACTCGATCAAAGGGCCGGATACGAACCATGCACCTCATCGCACCCGATGTCGGTGTCTTCAACATGTGGACCCAGACACTCGAATCCGTGTCGCGTAACCGCATCGACCTTATGGCTGGTCTCATGGGCTTTGCCGACAAGAGTGCCAAGCTTGTGTGGCAACGCGCAATGAAGAAGCGCAGTGAAGGCGAAGAGTCCCTCGACTTTCCCAGCATTGTCGAGTTGTGCCGGAGCTTGCACATCAACTGCAGCGAGGCCACTCTTCTCATCTACTTCCAAAAGGCCGACAACCAGTCCACTGGAAAACTCAACCAACACCAATTTCTATCCTTTGTCAGGCGCCTAAAAGAGCGCAAGGACATCAAGATGATTTACAAGTCCCTGACATCAGGCTCCAAAATCGAGATGGACAAGGTTACCTTCTTCTCCTTTCTCCAACAAGAACAGGGTGTCGATGTCAATGCAGACCTCGAGTACTGGACCAACACATTTGAGCGCTTCGCACGTGCCACCAAGCCTCGAGCGCCTGCCACACCTGTCGAGGGTGGTGACATTCCTCTGCCTCTGGCCATGAACTTCTCGGCTTTCCAGACGTTCCTCACATCTGCCGCAAACTCTATTCTCCGCCCAGTTGGACGCCAGCAAAAACTCGATCGACCATTGAACGAGTACTACATCTCTAGCTCTCACAACACCTACCTCTTGGGCCGCCAGGTAGCTGGTGAATCTAGCACAGAGGCATACATTACTGCACTCCAAAAGGGCTGCCGATGCCTCGAGATTGACTGTTGGGACGGGGCAGACAACGTCCCCGTCGTCATGCACGGCCGCACTCTAACCAAGAGCATTCTCTTCCAAGACACCATCAAGGTCATCAACAAATACGCCTTTACCGAGTCGCCATACCCCGTCATCCTATCGCTCGAGGTTCACTGCTCACCAGTTCAACAGTCGGCCATGGTCAAGATTATGATGCAAGAGTTTGGCGACAAGCTAGTGCTTCAACCCCTGGACTTTGAGTCGCAGACCCTGCCTAGCCCTGAGGAGCTCAAGCACCGCATACTCATCAAGGTAAAGGGTGCTGCTGGCGATGAGTTCGACACCAGAGCGCTCATTGGCGAAATCACCTCACGAAGGCAGCGCAGCTTCAGCTCGCCATGGTCACGACCCGTCATCATGAACGACAATGCTATCCCAAACTCGCCCCTTCTGTCAAGCCCGCCTTCGATGAGCCCGCCGGAACGGTCGGCAACCTTTTGGGCAACCCCTCGAACTTCAAACAACACGCTACCCACCTCAACAGCTGTAAGTTCGGCAGAAGACAGTGACAGCCCAAATGCAACTGCCGCAGAAGCTGCCGAGGTGGTGGATGACCGAAGCAAGCCGAAGAAAACCAAGACAAGCAACATCACCAAGGAGCTAGGAAGCCTCGGAGTCTATACCCGCGGTGTCAAGTTTACCGACTTTGGCGGCATGGAAGCCAACACCTTCAACCATGTCTTCTCCATCAATGAGCGCGCCTTTGACAAGCTCACCAAGCCTGGAGCACGCGAGAAGCACCTACTCGAAGACCACAACATGCGCTGCCTCATGCGCGTATACCCGCACGCCTTCCGCATCAACTCGTCAAACTTTGATCCTCTCAAGTTCTGGCGTCGCGGTGTGCAGATGGCTGCTCTGAACTGGCAGACGTACGACCTTGGCCAACAGCTGAATGAGGCCATGTTCGCTGGTGGAAACGACCGCACTGGCTACGTCCTCAAGCCGGCGGCACTTCGCCTCGAGTCACAAACACCAGTTGTTGGTCACCGCAAGGCGCCCAAGAAGCAAGTCAAGTTTACCGTACAAATCATCTCGGCTCAACAGCTGCCTCGCCCGCGAGGTCTCGGGCAAGAGGCCAACATCAACCCATACGTCGAGTTTGAAATGTACTGCGCTGAGGACATGGGTGCAAATGCTACAGGCATTGGCGGCCAAGACGCATCAGCCCGCAACGGTCACTCGGGTATTGGAAACCCTCTGCGCAAGAGGACCCGCATTGTTGAGGGCAACGGCTATAACCCCGAATTCGGCAACGAAATTGACATGACAGTGACAACAAGATACCCCAGCCTCGTATTCGTACGCTGGACTGTCTGGAATTCGCTTGATGCACGGACCACGAATCACGCGCCACTTGCTACCTTCACAGCCAAACTAAGCAGCATTCAGCAAGGCTATCGTCACCTTCCTCTCTACGACAGCAACGGCGAGCAGTACTTGTTCTCGACCCTCTTCTGCAAGATCAAGAAGCAGGATATTGTCGATGCACCCGAAGTCTCGAGCGGCACTTCGCGCGGGTCCTCGATTGACCCTGGCAGCCCCCTCCAGGAGCCCACCAACACCAAAGCGAGCCGCAGCTTCGTCAGACGCTTGATCAGCCGTGCACCTAGTGAACGCAGGAGGCGCAAAGAAGAGCTGCACCGCACAGGAAGCGAGTCACGCGAATCTGACCTAGACCCCATTAGTCGCTCAAGCACAATGGAGCGATAGCCCAAGCTCCAGATACCGCCTCACTCTGGGTGTGCAGCTGACAGTGTCGCCACGCATATCTGTAAGCACGAGTTCCTCGGCTGCAGGTGGTGCACCATACAACTAGCAGCATGTTGTTCACCCCACATGTACTCATATTTGGCCGTGCGCCGGTTTCTTACTCTTCCAAGAAACCTGACGCCATGACATGGGGCCACGGCTATGTGTCCCGCACCTTAACCCTAAACACGGATACGCGGAACAAAAGCTAAGAAAATCTCGGGCAACGGCACCATGCGTATGCTCTCGCTACCGACAACTATCGGATATCCAACAGAATCGCAATTACTACTGCTCGGCCTAGCAAACATCGCTTTGCACAAAAAAACAAACAAAAAGTTATCCTTGATTCTCAGTCTGGTCCTGGGCGTCGATCGCTTTCATCCTTGCCGTGTGTATTCGATTCCACCATATACCCTTTTTTTCGCGACAACCTTTTTATTTCTTTTGATTGTTTTTTTTCGGGACCGGAAACATTGGCGTAGGTGAACAATCATAGGGAAACTATCATGGTTTGCCGGCGAGCAACCGTTTTT